CCGAATAGCAACTTTGTAAATAAATACCCATTATTATTATATTTCTTGGGCTAATTTTTGTTTCTTAACTTACGTCTATTGATTTATTATTTTTAATAATTAACATGTTCTACGATAATGTTTAAAATTTTTAAATATGTCTAGAAAATTCTTATCTTTTGTGAATGTGTGAATATGCCTTGCTGAAACTAGTTTTGTAAAATATTTTTTTAAATATTTATTTTTTCCCCTTTGCCTGATAATTTCAGATTGATATGCTTTAAACTTCATTTTATTAGACTCCTATATTTCTAATATTGCTTAATTGAATTTTTTTCTCTTTTTAAAGTGGTCCACTTAGGAGTTTCCATTTATCTCTGACGTCAAATGTATTATGATGAGAAGTATTATTACCACATGCTTCAAATTTGCAAGGTTGTTTCTATTATATTCTCTACTCGATGATTATGATTGATCTTTTTTATTACATGTCTGATAAAAAAAATCAGAAGTTTTTATGATCTTATTTTTATTGGGCTCGAGGCTAGTGGGTTGTTGGGATAATGCATTCATTTATATTCTATCAATTATATCTTTGTTCTTAAATTGTTATTTTTAATTAACGAGTGGAATGTGTTCATGATGTATGCATCCAATGTTGTTTAAGTAACCTTTAATTTTTTTAAATAAGCATTTTCAATGTCTTTTTCAGATTTTATAGCAATAGCATTTTCATATTTTTTTTTCTGACATCAATTGATGAATCAGGAGGAATAGTTTTGGAACTACATGATTGAAACTTTGCATGCTTATTTATATGGAGATTCCTTACTTTATGATGGATTGTTTTTAAACAAATGTCTCATAGGAAAAGTTTTCAGAGTGTTTGTATTTATGTATTTTATTTATTTGGCTGGTGTTTAATTTTTTCTCCTATCTTTTCTGTCTTAGTTTTTTAAATAGTTTTTTTTAAATCATGAAGGATATATGTACATGGAGTATGCATCCTGTATCGTTCATGCAGCCTCTAATTTAAAAAAACACAATTTTATTTTAAAAAAAATCATTTTTCTCATGTTTGCATCTTTCGGATTTTTAAGGAACGCCAAATGAATCGGGAGGAAAAGTATTCTAGCTATAGCCTTCAAACAATGCATGCTTCTTTTTATTGATATTCTTTACGAAATTCAAGAGGCTTTTATATATATATATATCCAACTAGAAAGTTTTATAACATTTTTACATTTGCTACCCCTGAAGAGTTCTCAAATATTTATGTGACCCCCACATACATGCCATTTGTAACACTTCCAATAACTGCTTTAAACTTTAAACTTTTTGTCAATATTATTCTTAATGTGTATGCCAAGTTTCATTTACAATAAAGTACAATAAGTTACAATACAATGCAATACAAATTTGTCTTTATTCATTCTCCTAAATTCAAAATTGGTATTAAATGTTTAATTTTGTGCAATAAAAGTCACAACAAAATTTAAAAAAAAAAAACTTAAGTGGATTTTTGTCTTTCTGTTTGTGTTTGGTTTGTATGTACTTTGTATGTATTTTTTCAATTCCTTGATTTATTTAGGTTATCAGTATTTTATTTTCAATGTGGCATGACTTAGTTGCCTTGAAACCAAACTCCCTTCACAGATCACATATACTTGCTCCCACTCAATCATTACGTCTGTACTTAAATGAAGAAATGATACCGTACAAACAATAGTTAACTGTACGGGTACTAACAAGGAAGGTGAGAAAGTAAAAGGAGACAAATGGCAAAGGAATGATGTGACTTAATTGAATGCGTTTATTGGCTGCCTACTCCATACTGGCCCCAAATTGATTTTATGGATAACTTGAGTACACAACTCAAATAACTAATAACCAAACAAAAATCTTCTCAAGTCAGTTAAGGGTTTTTTTCTATTAAATTTTAAATTATGTACCAGTGTGCTAGACCCAGTTGTATGGTAAAATAAGTCTCTTTCTCATACTTTATACAATGGCATCCTTTAACTTTAAGATGTTCATTGCAACTACCTTGTGAATTAGGTCACGTCAAATGAGAAAGGTTGTTGAAAGGAGATTCACGATATCAGGAAAAACAGTCAGTGTCCGGATGTATGACTCCCAGTGCCTAGGAAAAGGTTTAAAATTGGTGGTTTTGTTCTGAATAAGCCAAGTTCTCTAGAGGAATAGTTGAAACTAATTCATTATGAATGAAATTTTCATTATTTAGAATACCTAATTAATTCATAAAGTACTGTGTGATTAAATCTTTTAACTTGAACAATACACATAAATAATCTTAAATAAAGGATTTAATTCTAATAATTAAATTAATATTATTACTTTTCTAAAATTCAAATGAAAACAATAAATGTATCTAAATCATCTTCGTTACTAGTCTTTAAAAAAAATAATTGATCTACGAAAATGGCTTAAACTAAAAAAAGAAAATAAGAAAGAAAAAAAATCTACCCGTACTAAGAGGAATTAACAAAGCAAAAATAAAAAAAAAACCAACTTAAAATAATAAAACTATGAATCAATGAAATAAAAAGGAGAAAAAAACAATTGAAAAAAATAATTCTCATACCATTATTGTTATCACACCCGGCTCCGAGGCCATTTAATGTGTACGGAGCCACTCCGGTTGCGAATAGTCATTGGCGACCATAGGTACCCGAGTAGCTATAGATGCAGCCTTTACAAAATACACACGTAAACGTTTAGGCTAATGCCTTAAGCAGTACAAAAAAAAAAACAACAACAACAAAAAAAAAAAAAGTTTAAATAAGTATAAATTAAATTTACATAATATATAATATATTGTAAGTAGCTATAGATGCAGCCTTTACAAAATACACACGTAAACGTTTAGGCTAATGCCTTAAGCAGTACAAAAAAAAAACAACAACAACAAAAAAAAAAAAAAGTTTAAATAAGTATAAATTAAATTTACATAATATATAATATATTGTATTCTATCTACAAAATATAAGAAAAAAAATAAGATTGGGCGCTAAACCCAGACAAAAACAAAGTTAAAGAGATCGGAAGGAAGTGAGAGCAAATAACATTTCAAAACCAGTTTCCGGTCTACAATAAAGCTTTATCGCAGTCCAACATTCTTATAATTATTTCGTTATTGTACGTCATAAACCAAAATAATTTAGAAAACATATTTTTGTAAACTTTCATTACCCAAAGAATGAAATCTTTATCGACTACTTTTTCAAGCAGTGTGACCCGTTAACAAAGTTTTTAAATGATGTTTCATATTTGAAAGCACTTAAATTTGAGGTCTCATTTTATAACAATAAATATGCTTAACGGAAAATTAGGTTATTTTTAGAGAGATTCTCTGAATCAACTTTCTAAAAAAAAAAATTAACTAAAACATGAATTGTTTTTAAAATGTATTGTGTCCGTGAAGTGCATTCTACACAACTTCCATGAAGTGCATTCTACACATCGTCCTCGAATACCTCTCTACACACCGTCCACGAAGACCTCTCTACACACCGCCCACGAAGACCTCTCTACACATCGTCCTCGAAGACCTCTCTAACACAGTCCACGAAGACCTCTTTACACACCGTCCACGAAGACCTCTCTACACATCGTCCTCTAAAACCTCTCTACACACCGTCCACGAAGACCTCTCTACACACAGTCTACGAAGACCTCTCTACACACAGTCCACGAAGACCTCTCTACACACCGTCCACGAAGACCTCTCTACACACCGTCCAAGAAGACCTCTCTACACACCGTCCACGAAGACCTCTCTACACACCGTCCACGAAGACCTCTCTACACACAGTCCACGAAGACCTCTCTACACACAGTCCACGAAGGCCTCTCTACACACCGTCCACGAAGACCTCTCTACACACCGTCCACGAAGACGTCTCTACACACAGTCCACGAAGACGTCTCTACACACAGTCCACAAAGATGTGCGCACCGTGCATGGTAAAAAGAGAAACACAAAAATCCAAATAACTCATATAAACTTCAAATTCTCAACTGTTCAAAAATTCCGAATTCAAGAAACAAAACTCCATTTCGGTTATTTTTCTATTGGTTGACAACCAAACTTTTCACGATGTTCGACTTCCGGTTGACCCAGTTGAAAAAAAAAAAAAAAAACGTTGTTGAAAAATTATCAGCGCCTCCTTTGTTTGGAATAATTGTAACAATAACCTGGTACTGGGAGGTAACAAAAGATTATGTGGACTATGGCCCCAGAATGAATACCTTAACTTGTATCAATTGCATTGAGTATCTTTTAAATCGTTCCAAAAGCAAAGCATTACCAAACGTTTTTTTTTTTTAAATTTCATGCAGATGAAGTTTCGGAACATTAAATGACCACCTATGTGCTGGGGTCAGGGTCACATTTTTTTGAGAATCTGAGAGTCACTTGTGCTTTAACATCAATGTGTGACTTTCTTCAATATCTGAATGCAACAGTCTTGGTTATTTACCTCCCATAGTATTGCTCACCTGAGTGTGACATCATTAGTCATTCTTGGGCAATAAAATTATGATCTTATTAGATTTTCAGATCTCCATTTCTGAAACTGAAAAATTTTCACATGAAATTCTATCTCCATTTGATATTGTTATTAATTAATCCCAACAGCTATGTGTGAAAACACGAGTGACGTGCCGTTCAGAAACAGAAATTCATGAACTATTTATTACAAATGGCAGTTTCCTTTTCTTTCATGTTTATCCAGGGATTTCTTTTCTAGAAAGCTTTGATGACACTTTACACATCTGAAAACTGGTGGTCGGGGGTTTGCCACAGGTGGCTGAGTCCTATTCAAAGATGAACGAGGCATTTCTGTTGATGACTGAGTCATTTGCGAAGCTGAGCGAGGCACTACGACAGTTTTCTTAGTACTTTCCGCAGAATATGACAGAGACTGTTTCACAGATGCTCGTTTCTCTTCGCCAGTAGAACGAGAATGCTTGGCAGACGCATAGTATCTTAATTCAGCCTGAGATATCTTTTTGTCGCATGTTTCCACGTGAGAGTTCAACTTCTGCTCAGTTAGAAAACGTTTCTCGCAATGGACGCACGAGATGTACCCCTGACGCTGTTGGTCAAGCCTGGGTTGTTGTACTCTATCCTGATCCGCTCTTGTGGTTTCCTTCTTTGTGAGATCTTTTGTAACGTCTCCATGAAAGGTTGTTGAATCGCTTCGGAGGGATAGAGACTTATTATGGCTGGCCAAAGATTCAACTGATACCGAATTTTTGCGTAATTCCCCACTGTTACAATTGCGAGTGTTTGTAGTTTGATGCAAATCCCGTTTTTTACTAACGTTTCCTTGAGCTCCGTGGACGGTACTAGCCTGGTGCCTAACGTCGTGTCCACTCTGCGACCTGTATCTATCTTTAACATCCTGATGATCTTGAGAGTGTCGATGCTCGGAAGCAATCTTTGCATCTTCAGAATCACAAATTCGATAATTGGAAATCTCTCTATTTTCTGAAGATTCTCTAGCGTACCCCTGTTTCAGTTGATGCCGCGCGCCGTCATCATTTACAACGTACAGCTTAGGTGTGGTTGGGGCTGCTATGGTGTTTAAACTGTCGTTGTTGTAATCTGTTAGCGATAGAGCACGTGCATTTTTCTTCATAACGGTCGCATCTGTAAGGTGTGGCGCTCGAAATCCAAGTTTAGCTTCTATAGCAAAGCCTTGCACGATACAGGTCACTTGAACTGTTCCTTGCAAGCCGCTGTCCTCTGACGCATGTTGATCTGCAAGTTTTGATCTTGTTCTTGATGAGACCGGGCCGTCTTCGCTAAATTTATTTTGCGGGGGTATGTTGAAAATGTTGAGTATTTTCGTATCGCCTTTCTCAACATCCTGGTTACTGCTGTTCCGTGATACGTCGTCATCATCTGTGGGTAGAGAAGCAGGCAATGGCTAACAGGTCTAAAACACATCACGGTAACATTTGAATGCCCGCCACAGCTTACCGCTACTTTATACCATCATATTTTAATCATAGAAATTGAGGACTTTGACAAATATCTAGATTAACTTTGAAAACTAAGCAAAATATATATTTTATATTCATAAGGGAATCGGCTTATTGAACTTTAACTTGTGAAATAGAAAATTCTATTAATATAGGTGATTATTCGATTCATCATCGAGAAAATAAATTAACTGCACGATTCAATTTAAAAAAAAAAAAAAAAAACTGTTCCACCTTTAATATTTAATTTATTTATTTGGATCATCGAAAATATATATTTTATATTCATAAGGGAATCGGCTTATTGAACTTTAACTTGTGAAATAGAAAATTCTATTAATATAGGTGATTATTCGATTAATCATCGAGAAAATAAATTAACTGCACGATTCAATTTAAAAAAAAAAAAAAAAAACTGTTCCACCTTTAATATTTAATTTATTTATTTGGATCATCGGCCCTCTCTGTTTGACATTTCCCCCTTTTGCGTATCGTAAAATAAAACCATCCAAAGACAATGGATTAAAAGCATGATTATATCTTTACTGCAGGATTAAATATATGCATTAGGCCACCTGTAAAATATTTTTTAATTCTTATTTTAAAATCAATAAATTAAAGTAATGATTGCATTCAATAAATTATTTGACAGTTTAAAAGGATAAATTCAATTACTCATAGTTGCTACCATTCCTGATCCACCACTTTTATGTTCTGCCTTCAAACCTGTTGTGGAATTTTAGGATAGAAATATTAAGACAATATTTATTTGTAATCTATATACGTTACTGGTGCCTCATCTCTATCCCCCTACCATAACTAATAGTTCACAACTCACTTCTCTAAAAAAAAATTTAAAAAGCATACAAGATAGAAGTTGATCTGTAAATTATTTTTTTAAAGTTTTTAATTTTTTTAATATTTTTTTGGATTTCGTCAATAGCTTGTCAATTCAACATCATCAGCATAATATCAACTCTTCATCAACATCATCAACCTATCAATTTTTCATCAACATCATCAACCTATCAAATTCTTCATCAACATCATCAACGTATCAACTCTTCATCAACATCATCAACGTATCAACTCTTCATCAACATCATCAACGTATCAACTCTTCATCAACATCATTCATGTTTAAAGTCATCTGGTATCTATCCCCCTGATTCCTTCTTTCAAAGTCAATTATTTAGGATCTAGAAATTAAAAGCCACCGCCATCTTATTGAAAATGGTTATCTATCCTTCCTCTTGATTACGTCCATTAACTACGTCATTAATTTTAAAGAAATTCCCTAACCCCCCCCCCCCCCCCCCCGCCCCCCCACGTTTTTCCCCTTTGTCAACACTGTAAAACTTTCTATGACCCCCTTAAGTAATTATGTCAAGATTTCTATAACCTCCTCCCTATAAAAAATGAATTACGATATAAAAAAAAATGTAAATAAAGATATCAGTACATTTTACTTTGTGCTGATCTATTTTAATGACAAAAAAGTGTAGGAAAAACATTTTATTGCATCTTAAACTTGTTAATAAGCAAGTTAAAATTTAATATGAACAAAGAAATTATGTAACTATATTAATTTACACTCATTAAATTTGTTAAAATAATGTAATAATAGGTCAATTTTGAAGATGAACATTTTACTAGAGAAACCATGATTGTTGACGTCAACTAATCTAAACCCCCTCCCTCTATTTTATTGACATAATTAATGGCCGCCCCCTAGTTTGTTTTTGATAGAAATGATTTGTTTTTTTGTTGTTGTTTTTTTAAATTCTCTTAGTTTAGCCGATTCTAGTTTTTTAATAGTTAAAAAGCCTTGAAAGTTAAAAGTACTTTTTGTGAGAAAAGTTTATAAAGTTTACATTAAGATTAATTTCTGAGATTCCAACGCAGGTCATGCTAAAAAAAATCTAATAATCTATATAAATAAAAATGAATGTTTGTATGTCTGTATGTCTGTATGTCTCGTATGCGCTCCGACACCATTTATGATATTGCGACAACACTTTGGTCAATTGTTATCCAAATAAATGGCCATTTAAATAAGTCATTATAAACCTTACAAAGTGTTCCGTTTCTAGCCGATGGGCCTTAATTCGTTTTTTTTCTTCTGTGAGCTTTGTAAAAAATATTTTCCACATGCGCTTCTACGCTATTTATCCGATTCCGACAAAAATTTGGTGAGATGTTGCAAGCATGTCCATAAAGGTTTCTAAATTGTTACAACCGTTTTAAAATATTCAGTTTTGAGCCAGGGGAACTTATATTCGTTTTTCCTTATATGAGCTATATAAATATATTTTCAAACCGTATGCGCTCCTACACCAATCATGCGATTGCTACAAAACTTAGTGAGTTGTTGTCCATGTGCCAGTGCATTTTACTGTGTTATTTTAACACTTTTAAAAATATTCCGTTTTCGGCCGTTGGCCCTTAATTCATATTTTTTCTAACATGAGCTTTGTAAAAAATAATTTTCAAATGCGCTCTTACGCCATCTTTTCGATTCCGATAAAACTTTGGTGAGATGTTGCAAGCATGTCCATAAAGGTTTCTAATATATTAAACCATTTTAAAATATTCAGTTTTGAGCCAGGGGCCTTATATTCGTTTTTCCTAATATAAAGCTATATAAATATATTTTCAAACCGTATGCGCTCTTACACCAATCATGCGATTGCTACAAAACTTAGTGAGTTGTTGTCCATGCGCCAGTGCATTTTACTTTGTTATTTAAACACTTTAAAAAATATTCCGTTTTCGGCAGTTGGCCCTTAATTCATATTTTTTCTTATATGAGCTTTGTAAAAAATAATTTCCATATGCGCTCCTACGCCATTAATCCGATTGCAATAAAACTTTAGTGAAATGTTGCAAGCACGGCCGCAAAGGTTTCTAAATTAATATAAACTTTTCAAAATATTACAATTTGAGCCAGCGGCCCTATTTACATTTTTTTCTTATACGAGCTAAATAAATATAATTTCAAACCGTATGGGCTTCTGCACCATTCATGCGATTGCGACAAAACTTTGACGAGTTGTTATCTATAACATACCCATTTTACTAATTCATTACAACACTTTTAAAATATTCCGTTTTCAGCCGTTGACCCAAATTCATATTTTTTCTTATATCAGCTTTGTAAAAAATAATTTTCTATGCGCTCCTATACCATTTTTCAGAATGCGATAAAAATTTAGTGAGATGTTGTTCTATCGCCCACAAAGGTTCTTAAATTACTACAACCGTTTAAAAATATTCAGTGTTGAGCCAGGGGCCCTATGTTTGTTTCTTACATAATGAGCTATATAAATATAATTTAAAATTGCATGCGCTCCTACATCATTCAAGCGCTTGCAATAAAACTGAGGTGAGTTGTTGTCCATAAGCCAGAGCATTTTTCTAAGCCATTATAACCCTTCAAAATTATTCCGTTTTTTTTGGCAGTTGGCCCCAAATTCGTGTTTTTTTCCTTACATTAGGAGCTTTATAAAAAAAATAATTTCCGTATGCGCTCCTCTACATTATTAGAATGCGATAAAATTTTAGAGAGATGTTGTGCGCACGCCCGCAAAGGTCTCTTAAATGATTACAACCATTTTAAAATTTTCCGTTTTTAGCCAGATCCTATGTTCGTTTTTCTTCCATATAAACTATACAACTATAATTTCAAACATAGCTAATGCATGGGTGGATAGCTTTTTAATCAAATACAAATAGTGATATTAAATTGAGTGTGTGACATATTAAGTAGGTTTCTGAAGTAATACAACAATTCTACAATATTCCATTTGTGGAGGGGGGTCCAAAATTCGTTTTCCACACTTCTATTATCCATATAATTATCGTATGCATTTCTATACCATTCATTCGATTGTGATAAAAATGGGTCAAGTGAAATGAGCACTACCGAAAATGTTTCTAAATTAGAAAAAACATTTTACAATATTCCGTTTGGGCCAGTGACCCTAATTTCATATTTTCTTCTAAGAGCTTTGTGACTATAATTTCAAACAGAGCTATTGCATGTGTGGAAGTAGTTGAATCCGCCGGCTAATTTTTCAAATTTAGTACATCCATTGTACAATATTCCAATTAGGGCTGGGGACCCTAAATTCAATTTATTTTCTTAAATGAGCTTCATCAATATAATTTATAACGGAGATATCAACACTACCGACCTTGAATAAATTACACATTTGTAGTAAAGCAGAGAAAACACGTTTTTACATTTTTAGTGTAGAGAGTGGTTTTTGTTATTTGTATAAATAAGCTTGAATTTTGTGACGTACTTTAGAATCGGATATGACATCGAAATCGCGTTTTTTTTTCAACTA